TATATATATATATATATATATATATATATATATATATATATATATAAAACAACACCTTAAAAATTTGTTCTCCTGGGATTTTAAACAACTTCAGAATCACGAAGACATGGTATATAGAATTGGAATTCTAAGACGTAGGTATTAACCACCATTGTATGCATAATGCTTCATAAACCTGTAGTGTTCTCTCAGTTGAAAATAAACACAAGAATGATGCCTTTCCAAACACAAACATAGTCGCTATCAGCTTTTCCCCACCTAGATTTTCCCCCATAACCTGGACTTGAAGCAAAAGGGTCTTTCTCCTCTCTGTCCCTATCGCTCTCCTTCTTTCCATCACTGTTCCCCCTCCCCCATTATCCTCCTCCCGTCTCCTTCCTTCCTCCTTCCCTTTCTCTCCCTTCCTACCCTTTACACTGTCTTCTCCCTCATTCCTTACTCTTCCTTCCTTTTCTCTCCCTTTCTCCTGTCCTCTCTTCTTTCTCCTCCTTCCTTCTCTCTGGTCCTACCTCTCTCCCTCCTTTTCAGTCCCTCTCTCTTTGAGTCTCTCTCCCTCCCTCCCTCCTGTCTCTGTCCAACCCCTTTCCTTGCTCCCCGTCTTTTCTCCTCCCCTCACAGATACCTTCGTCCTCTCTCCCTCTCCCCCTTCCTGGTGACCACACCTCAGAAAATACAATCCTTCTCCCAATTCCTCAGGAGCCCAGATTTTGGTCTTTGGGACAAAGAAATGCTCAAATGCGGAGGCTACCCAGAAGTTTTCAGTAACCTTAATGTGTCACCTGCGGGTTTGCTGGCTCTTGAAATCTGATCTTCTGGTTCCAGCGGCCCAAATTTTGTACAGTAAGAGGGAGGCGGTACACTTTCCCAGATACTGTATCCTGGAACTTCAGCTCTGAAGGGGTTACCCTCAGCTTAACTTCCTTCCTGGGGCTGTCTACATCACAAGGGAGTAGCAACCGCTGCCCTGTGTCCATTGCGGCCCTCTATATTCCCCTCAACCAAGCACAGATTTGACCACCTCCGGATGGGCTTTGGACAACAGATGTAGCTAGGAGACAATCACTAGGTAACCATTACAGGAATCCCACTTGCGCGTGGACCAGCCCCTTGCATTCGCCCAGGCCTGTCTCACCCGGAAGTCTCCTGTGCTTGCCCCTCTCTGCCCACATGCCCACATGGGGATTTTCTGCTAGCCCTCCACCTACAAGGGATACCCTGCTAACCTCACTGGAGACCAGGAATGAAGGTCCACACCTCTGTCTTCGCCCCTGCCACTAAAGCTCCCTCAGGTACAAATAGCCCTATCTTCAAGGGCACTGCCTTAACCCTTGAGGTAGTAGCTGTACAAGAACTAAGAACTGGATGACAAGTAACTACAAAATAATTTGAAAAAAAAAAAAAACTTTATGCAAGCCTCAAATCCAGAAACAGCTCAAGTTGACATAGCCTGGCATATGAAAGTGGCATATGGTGTAATGGACACTTTCCAGCACCTTCATTTAAGGCAAGCTAAGCAAAAATGATGTGTCCACAGGGTCTATTAAGACAGCCAGATTCAACTGAAATGAAGGATTTTAATAAGGGAGGGAGTGTCAGTGGCCTTTAGGCAAGCATTTCTGTGTTGTTTTCTATAATATAAAATTATTGAATTATTATAAAAATGTATCAACAGAAATGTGTAAATTACCTAGATTGTAGATGTTGCGCAATATGTCCTTTGTGAGTTTAATAAAAATATATTTTTCTTTTTTCCGCAAAGCTAGGGAATAAATGTATTCAGAATGCAAGCATTCTGTGACTGAACTGCATCCTCAACCACTGTATCATTAAATTTTAAAGTAATGAAATACACATGTATGATATAAAAGCAATCTTGTGGTTTATTATTGAATATGGATTATAGTTCAGCATATCTGGAACAGTTCCCAAAAATCTACACTTGCTAGTTCCCAGAGAATTTCTATGCTGCTGGTCAATGGACTGATTATTATACACTGATTATAGAGGCTTTAGAAATGGTATTTGAAGTTATTGCTTTAGGTACACCAATGAAACATCTGCATTGTAATATAAAGATTTTTCATACAAGCACAGATTTACATTGTTTTGTCTTCTTGTTCTTTTCATTTCCTCTTTGCCTCTGGAATCTCAATCTGACAACTAAAAAAGTTATCTTTAACACCTGCACACCTTTTAAAAACCATGTTTCCTGACAGTTTTGCAAGAATCTTACAGCACCAACATCACAAATACTTCATTTTCCACAAATATGAAAAGATTAGTAAGTAACCTTAAATAAAAAATCAATTTGTAATTCATTGAAATTGTTGTGGACAGTTGAAACAAGGTTGGAAGGGAGTTGGGTATTCTGTGCAAATTTCTGAGAAATGATAAAATATCTGAATCATCTTCTAAAATTTTGTTTTCTTTTTCTTTTTTCTTTTTTTACATTACAAGTTTCAGATGTGAATCACCTTTGCTTTTTTTGTTTTGTTTTGTTTTTGTTTGTTTGCTTGATTGTTTTTGTAAGAGCACAGAACAAAGTCTGTATGTATACCGGTGCCCAAGCTAAGGCAGTTTTGTACCCCTGAAAGGCTCAGATTTTGCGTGAATGCAAAAAATAGTTCCTGTACAATGCCCTAAATTCTAAAACAGCAAAGAGCTGTCAAAATTTCCAACCACACATAAAGAAAAGACTAGCTAAAATTTGAACTTTGTGGAACCTCCTTTGTAATTCTTTTCAAGTAAGGAAGGGTGGAACTCAGAATGGTATGCAGTAAGATGTAACACCAGGCAAAAACCAATTCATAGAGCATGTAGTCCTGCAAATGTTTTCTATAGATACTGTAAGGTGTGCGGTGCACACACACACACACACACACACACACACAAACACACACACACACACACACACAAATACGCACACATATATATATGCCCTCAGGGAGACTGAGTTGGTAGAATGCTTTATTTTGTGTTGAAAAGTACTTTTGACAAATTTAGAAAATTTAGACAATTACGATTTTTTGGAATAAAAAAATATTAAAATAAATTACTTTTTTTGCTGTTTAATTTTTTATTTAACTTTTATTAATTATACTTTATTCATTTTTGTATCCACCCATAAGCCCCTCCCTCCTCCCCTCCAGGTCCCACCCTCCCCCCCTTTCTGCATGCATGCCCCTCCCCAAGTCCACTGATAGGGGAGGTCCTCCTCTCATTCTCTCTGATCTTAGTCTATCAGTTCTCATCAGAAGTGGCTGCATTGTCAGGGTTCTCGGAGAGATGGCTCAGCCATTAAAGGCTAGGCTCACAACCAAAAATATAAGAATAAATTAATTTTAATCACATAAAAACAAAAGTAAATAGAAAGATGTTCATAGAATATAATTTGGTAAGTAATTCTCCTATAAAAACAGAATGTTGACCCAAGTAAAAGCATAGCAGAACTACATTGTTAAGTAGTAACTGAGAATAATGTATTTGGTGGTGATCTGGTTGGTGATAAAGCACCTGATTAGTATCATTTCAAGTGAAAGAAAATATGAAAACATCAGATTCTGATGAGGCTATAAAGCAACATGAACGTTGTTATATTTCTTCCTTGTCTCTAAGACAGTGATTGAAAAAAGGTGCTCATTAGTGCCAGGTAACTGTTACAGTTATTTCAAATAACTGTTTTTCTCGTAGTTTCACTCCTAACCAGGCTATCATATTGAAAGGGTTAGACTAATTTTGTAACCTACATGTCTTTTAAAGCCTATAGTTTTAAATTTTAGGTCCAGGTTAAGCTACAGCCTCTTAGTACCTTTCCAGAGAACGGAGGAATATGACCCTATCTGTGTGGACAGATAGAAAAAAAGCGAGCAAGCAATGACCTTCACTCAGCAAAAAGAAGGAGCAGACCCTTGTATTCAAGATAGTGTTTCTTAGCAACGAACCCAGATGGCCACAATCCTTCTTCTGAGTAGCTCCTGAACTCCAGCCAAAAGCCAGCCCTAATCTTCAAGGATGAGCTAACCACCCCCACCTTCAATTGCAGCTGCATCCACACTTGGCAGGACTTGCCAAGCTTGAGCACCTAAGACTAACCAATTATCTTACTTTGTAGGTTCCTCATCCAATCCTAAATTGCCAAGACTACAACTTCAAATTTACCCGCAATTTTTCTTTTAAAAACCTAAGACTTTTGTCTCCCGGTGCCACTCATTGCTGACTGGCAGGGGTGACCCTATTGCGCAATGGTTGAATTAAACCTCTTGCTTTTTGTGTGTGTGTGTATGTGTGTGTGTGTGTGTGTGTTTAACTTTTTTATTTTTTATTAATTACACTTTATTCATTTTGTATCCCCCCATAAGCCCCTCCCTTCTCCCCTCCCGATCCCACCCTCCCTCCCCTTTCTGCATGCATGCCCCTTCCCAAGTCCACTGATAGGGGAGGTTCTCCTCTCCTTTCTGATCTTAGTCTATCAGTTCTAGTCAAAAGTGGCTGCATTGTCCTCTTCTCTGGCCTGGTAGGGCTCCTCCCCCCTCAGGGGGAGGTGATCAAAGAGCAGGCCAATCAGGTTATGTCAGAGGCAGTGCCTCTTCCCATTACTATGGAACCCACTTGGACACTGACCTGCCATGGGCTACATCTGTGCAGGGGTTCTAGCTTATCTCCATGAATAGTCCTTGGTTGGAGTATGAGTCTCTGGGAAGTTCCCTGTGTTCAAATTTTCTTGTTCTGTTGCTCTCCTTGTGGAGTTCCTGTCCTCTCCAGCTCTTACTATTTCCCACTTCTTACATAAAATTCCATTCACTCTGCCCGACAGTTGGCCATCAGGCTCAGCATCTGCTTTGATAGTCTGCAGGGCAGAGGCTTTCAGAGGCCCTCTGTGGTAGGCTCCTGGTTTGTTTCCTGTTTTCTTCTTCTGGCTTTCAGGGGCCCTCTGTAGCAGGTTTCTAGGTTGTTTCCTGTTTTCTTCTGCTGCTGTCCATCCTCTTTGCCTTTCAGGTGGGGATTGAACATTTTAGTTAGGGTCCTCTCTCTTGCTTGGTTTCTTTAAATGCATAGATTTTAGTGGGTTTGTCCTACGTTGTATGTCTATATGAAGTGAGTATATACCGTGTGTGTCTTTTTGCTTCTGGGACAACTCACTCAGGATGATCCTTTCCAGGTCCCACCATTTACCTGCAAATTTCATGATTTCCTTATTTTTCATTGCTGAGTAAGACTCCATTGTATAGATGTACCACAATTTCTGCATCCATTCTTCAGAATCCAAGAACACATCAAAGATATTATCCACTATGACCAAGTAGGCTTCATCCCAGGTATGCAGGGGTGGTTCAGCAAACGGAAATTCATCAATGTGATCCACCATATTAACAAACTGAAAGAAAAAAAACCACATGATAATCTCCCTAGATGCTGAAAAAGCATTTGACAAAATCCAACATCCATTCATGTTTAAAGTACTGGAGAGATCAGGGATACAAGGCACATATCTAAACATAGTAAAGGCAATATACAACAAGCCTATAGCCAACATCAAACTGAACAGAGAGAAACTGAAAGCAATCCCACTAAAATCAGGGACAAGACAAGGCTGCCCACTCTCCCCATATCTCTTCAACATACTGCTGGAAGTCCTTGCTAGAGCAATAAGACAGTTGAAGGAGATCAAGGGGATACAGATGGGAAAAGAAGAAGTCAAATTATCACTATTTGCAGATGATATGATAGCACATGTGAGTGACCCCAAAAACTCCACTAGGGAACTCCTACAGCTGATAAACACCTTCAGCAAAGTGGCCAGATACAAAGTTAACTCAAAAAATCAGTAGCCCTCCTGTATACAAAAGATAAAAGGGCTGAGAAAGAAATTAGAGAAACAACATCCTTCACAATAGCCACAAATGACATAAGGTATCTCGGAGTAACCCTAACCAAGGAAGTCGAAGACTTGTATGAAAAAAATTTCAAGTCTCTG